TGGTGTTCTTATGAAGAAGATCGAGTTTAAACTGACGAAACACCAGGTTTAGGGCGGAAAAAAGAGAAGAAACAGGGAAATGCAATTTAATAAACCCTTACGAGTACCAATTCATATAAACTGCTGCATACTAATTTAATTCTTCCCTGCCTGCCGTTTAATCTTTCATGCCCGCCAAAGCAAGAAACTTTATGGTGGGGGCCATAAAAAACACTTAACACCGCAAGTTCTTCTCACAGGTAGGAATTCCTAGGAAGGTGCTAACTGACCAGGACCCTAACTTCATCAGTCAGCAATTGCACCTGGACCACCTGTGTGAGGAGAAGAGGATGGATCTTCTCAAGATTTTGCCTCTCCACTTTTTCCTGGAGAGCCGTGGGTGCACAGAGGTGGTCCAGCACAACATTACGCTGAAGAACCCCAAGCCCCCCTTCGCCAGCCTGTCTACAGGGTTCCAGGGTGCCTGCAACCAGTACTGAAGAAAGAGCTGGAGATGATGAGGAAGATGGGTGTTATAGACCTTCTTCCAGTGAATGTAGCACCCAGGCCTGTTAGTCCCCAAAAAGGACAGCACCTTGAGGTTCTGTTTGGACTTTAGAAAGGTAAATGGGGTCAGTAAACTGGACTTGTATCTGATGCCAAGACTCGATGACCTGGTTGAGAGAATAGGCGTTGCAAAGTACATCAACAAGGGATATTGGCAGCTTCTTGTCATGGTGTCCTCAAAAACTCAGGCGTAGTCTGCAGGTATTGTTGATGCGATTTATTGCTGGCCCTCTCAAGGTAAAAAACAGTGCTAATATTTACTGAAAGTGGTCAAAAATGGAAAACTTTGAAAAGACTGTATTACGCCCTTGTTTGGCCAGCCAGTCTCCTAATGTGAGACAGCAGCGCAACTTTGCAGCCCTCTTCCATCACTAATGGTAAGTTACATATGAATGTATGGATAAATAAACGTAGAACTCCCAAATGTGCACCCTTGGTTGTGCTAGCGGAAAGAGAGACTCAGTACTTGGGTTTTGTGCTGGGGGATGGGGTACTGCGTCCACAGATGGCAAAGGTCATCAAGAGCCATCAAGCTGGCTGTGGCCCAAAACAAAATCCAAGGTGAAGTCTTTCCTTGGTCTGGTGGGGTGTAATGGAAGGTTTATCCAAAACTTTTCCACTCTTGTGACCCCACTCATCAACCTCATCAGGAAGAATTAGTAATGATTAGTGTGAAGTGGTCCCTTCTCTTAGAAAGTGTAAAAAGCCTGGCAGCAGTGTTTTGCACAAGTTGCAGTCTTTGCTGATAGCAGAATTAAGTGCATTGCAATAGTTAAGTCTGAAGGAGATAGAAGCATGGATGACCAATTTGTAGATCTGCAGAGGAAAGTAAAGATCTGATTAGCTAGACAAAGCAGGGCTTCACCACTTTAGTCACCTGAGCATCATATGACAACTCAGTAAAAAGTAACACCTACGTTGCAGGCCTCTTTTTAACGTTATTAAATAAGGCACCTGGACTAGATAAGAAATTATTAATACTGCTAGAGCTGAGGCCAGAAGGGGTTATTTTACCTTATTTAATATTTGAAGTTATTCAACTACAAGAAATGTTTGGACATCCTATTATTATCTTCAGTGAGGCAAAAGAGACTAAAGGATACACTGGACATCAATTTGCATGTCATATGCATAGCAATTAATGAATTTTATGCCCACAAATAAATTCACTTTATTTATCTTTTGAAGCTGTCCCATAAATATCTGTGATACAACTTGACAACATTTGAAACACCATATGTGTTACCATATTTGAGGCAAAGTTCAAATCATTTCATTGCAGGTCAATTCAGTGTGCTTAACATTAAAATGTATACAGCAACAAGTAACAAATACAGGAAATACAAAAGTGCTCGGTACTTCCCTACCACAGTTTTATTTGAGGAAGAATGCATTGAGTTTTGAAACAGCGTGTCTCGTCAGGGAGAACAGTCTACAGTGGGTGTTGAGCCTGATAAATTATCATTATATAAAACAATCACTTATATTTTAAAATGTAGACTTACATCATATGGTGTACGTGGCTTGGTGTATATGAATATTCTGTTTTTGCTTGTCAACAGAAAATTGCCCCAGATACCATATGAGATACTATTGAGATAAAGCACAAATTTCACCATGACCCCAACCTTCCAACCTTTGTTATTCCATGTTAACAACTGATTTATGATTAAAATAAATACAATTTTATTATTGTAGTATTCTTCTATATATTCAAAAAGAAAATAACGTGGCACAGATTTTAACCAATACTAAAAATATTTTTTAGTCTACTTCAGTTAACGGTACATTGCTGTGTATCAAAATTACAGAAGCACTCCACATAGTGTTTCTCTATCAGTCAGTAGGATATGAAAATAAATAATAAATAAATATCCTTAAATGTGGTTAATTTTCACTTAATAGTTTAGCAGTTTGAGTATCTTAAACAACCTCAACAGTTTTCAATTCTTTACTTCACCTTTCCATAGATCATGGATCTACTCACAGTTTTAGCCTACAAAGGGTTAATGTGTGCAGCAAGGGAGTCAGTCAGAGCAGAGTTGTCTCTTGAGCTTTAAAGCCTAGGTTTCTTAGTCTTGTTTTGTTTTGTAAATGATCTGCTATCAAGGCTTGAATATGCTGGGAGAAAGATCACCACCCGGGATAAAACTTGAATTTTTTTTGCTCAGCTAGCTTCTGGATAATTCCATACTCATGAGATCCCGGATGTACTCCAGTTTTTAACTTTTTGTTTTG